ACAGTTACGTATTGCTATAATGGTGTCAAGTACAATTAATGAATTATTTTAAGAAATATATCAAAATATTATTAAGTAATAATTTAAAAGTATTTTGATATATTTCATAATAAAGTAAAATTAATTAACATAAAATAATTTAAAAATAATAAATAATAGTTCAATAAAAGGGAATATATTTCAAATGGCATATCAATATGCCCAGTTTGCTCACATATTATATTCTCTATATTCACGGTTGGTATGTTAAGAGCGTATGTGTACAGATTCACCGCTGTTATAAAAGCGAAAAATGTTATTTGTTTCTCGTGCATCTGTGGTGAACTCCTTGATAAATTCCTACAAATTGTTCGCTGTCGAACCTGCACCTTCTCATTGTTTTAAGTTCTCTGCTTCTGGTGTGTGACCAGAATCGCAATTCTGAGGATTATAACTTATTTTAAATTCTATGTATATGTTATGTAATGCCACAGGAGTTACGATGTGAAAAGGAACACTATAATTGAAATCATTTAGTTCTTAACAACGAAATAACATTAATTTTCTTCGGGTTCTAGAATATGTCTGAATATCTGTTTTTTTATTATATATCACGTAACGGACTGATTTCCTATTGTTTGTCTGTCCGTCCGTTCGTGCAAGCGTTAACTGGTGCAAAATCAGTCCCTCCAGTCTTTGATGATAATGATAAATGATTGATATTAGGAGATTAATTAATTTTCCTATGTCTGTTTACTATGCCGCCATGTATAAATTTTGAGATAGAAGTTGACGTCTATTAATTATTATTATTAGTTAACCCACAAACAAAATTAAAATGATCTTGTTCGTTACGAGGAAGGCGAATCTTTTATTTACATTATGAAAGCTATTGTATATTCTTAAGTAGATAATTTATTTAGATTGACTTACGCTTGACATCCATTAGAGGCAATGAAACCTTTGCCATTCTGTGTATTTCTTCCAAGAACATCCGTTTCACTCAGTCTAAGATCTTGACTGGACTTAATGTTAGAATTACGAGTGATTTTAGTTGGTATACGAACTCTGCATTCAATTAATTCAGCGTAGTTGCCATGATTCTGTTTATATATTTGGTAATACTCAATTTTTAAAGAACAACTACAAATTATTTGTAAACTATTTGTTACATACCTGTTGCTTGTCTTTAATTGTTGGGAAAGACAGGCCGCCTGTAGAATTTTTTTTTAAAATTTCATTACGCTCAAATATCTTTCTAGGTTTATGTCCATATTTGCTATTTGTGTTTTTATTATTTAAAGCAATTCTTTCGCTGTTTTTCAAATCATAATCAGCAGTTATTTTATCTAAACTGCCGTAAATACTTGGCCAATATCGTTTTTGAAACTATAAATATAGATACATTTTTTGCTTAATTTATTTTACAGCTCTTGAGTGATTCAGGAATATAATAGTCACAGCAAAGTAGACTAACTATGCACTAACTCAAATTTAGCTAATTTTTATATTTTACCTTATGTAATATGTAATTTTTTCATGCAATTTATATAATAGAAGATAATTAACTTTTAGGTGTCGCTAGATTACAAAGTTCATTTAAGGCTAAATATAAGCGTAATAAATAAAATATTGCAAGTACTGATGGTGGTCCTAATCACGTTTACCTAACTCACCTAGAACAGTGAGTGAGTGAATTGTAATTTACGGAAGTGGAATGAGAGGCACACTAGGGTTTGGTACAACGCAGGCTGTTTCTAGATCATCAAATAAATCTCCGGTGGCCTCTAATGATAATGCAAATGACAAAATTGAGCAAAATGAAAATAATGTATTAAATGGCGTAATAAACAAAATTTGCTTTAAAAACAAGTCGAAAATCCAATTGTGTAGCAACAACAACCGACTTAACTGTTAACTGAAATCAATTCTACGCAATTTAGGGAAATATTGATAAGAACAAGTTGAAACTCGCTAAAATAAAATTTTTCATAAACAAAAGATGGAAAATCAAAATTTGAGACTTAAAGTTAAGTTAAAAAAAATATTAAAATTGGAATTTAAAACCAAAACTCATATATCGGAAAAGTGCTGAGATAAAATGTGTTGAATAAATTAAATTTAATTCCAAATGTATTTCTTTATTTGATAATATCTTGTTCTAAAATTGTGTTGAAGCAATACAATAAAAACAAACAGCTAAGAGACATCGGAATCGTCCTATCAATACTCCAAATACTCGTTTATTTGTTAATCTATCTGGAAAAATTGTTGATTGAAGATAACTCATCAGAATTTTCGGCAGCATTCTTAAATGGTGTTAATAACCATGGCTTAAGTGGTTATCCAGAGTCTCCTGTAGCATATAAGTACATAATGTATATATGTACATATAGGTATATACCATATATATATACATATAAATCATTGGAATCTTACCAATGATGCGCGAACCACACCTTTATCTCCATTCTCGTTGCAACTTCTCAAAAATTCTCTTTCACTAGATAAATTCTATACGTTGGAACCGTGTGATGGATTTCCAAATCTATCATTAACTGCTCTTATTCTCAATTTGTGAACAATTTCACTAATTTCATTAAATTTTACTCCTATCACCATTGCATTTAGGCTGTTTATGCTGTATGTAAAGCAGGTTATCGACAGTATTAATGATTGCATGAAAATTTTCGATCGAAAATCTTTTCATATCGAATTCTCATTGGCATTGCAAATCTGAAAAACCCTGATAGAAACCGTTTGATGCGCTGGGCCTGTGTAGTGATCCTGACAAATCGAAAGTTGTTATCCGCCCTGACCAAGCAATTTTAAGATGGTCATGGTGAGCTTCATTACCGCTGGCACTGCTATTTACCATTGTGAAGTTTGCCTACCCTTTGTAACTAAAGCGCAGAATATTAGAGTTATGCCTATAATTTTACGCTCAATTCCTTCTACTTCCAGAGCGTCCATCCATATCGTTACATAGTCGATTTAACAAAAAATATTATATAAATTAACAATAATACAAAGTTCACCAAATTGTTTGCATTTTTATGTTTGCCTCGTTATAATATTTGGAAATTGTATCAGTAGTGCTTACTTATACAAAAATCATCCCAAACAAGTGAGAAAGTGCTAAGTTCGGGTGCAATCGAACATTTCATACTCTTGCAACTTGCCAGGATCAAAGCTGGGGAAATACCTTCGGGTGTTAGCAACACTTTATATTAAGAAATATAGCGAAAAGATTCAACTTCATTGTTCGAATGAATGAATGATTGAATGGATTACAATCAAGTTTGGTATTATTTTAACTTATTTCTAAGGCTCACTTAGTTGTATTACTATATTTACTTTCCGTCAGCGAAAATTACATGAAAATCATTGGGGGCATAGAAATGGAAGGCATTCATTTTTTACATTGCTCTAATATACTTGAAAACTCATTTTCAAGTAATTTTCTAAATATATAAATATACATTTAGATACGAGGTTTGTTCAGAAAGTATCCCAAATTTTGAATTTTCGCAAGCTAGAAATATTCGATTTTCGATTGTTTTGTTGTGTTACGTTGGTTATCACTTCCGTTACTTATGCTGACAAGGTCGGCCATTTTGAATGTTCAATTTATTTTTGATAGCGGTTTTGCTTGGTCACGTTTTGGTTTGGATTTTTGCTTATTCCTAAAAATTTATCAAAAATACGGCTTTTGACTAATGGCGTTTTGTGGGCATGGCAGTGCTAGGGGACACGTGTACAAAGTTTCATTAAGATGTCTCAATTGTTAATCAATTTATCGCTTGCACGGACGGACAGCCGACAGTCACTCGGATTTTATCTCGTCTCATCATCCCGATCATTTATATATATATATAAACCTATATCTACTCGATTATTTTTAGGTGATACAAACAACCGTTAGGTGAATAAATCTATTATACTCTGTAGCAACAATCAAAGTTGTATATCTTTAACTTCTATTAAAAGTCATAAACTAAGTTAGTTTATAACAATATTTTATTTCGCACCAACGAAACCTATATTTAAATCATCCTCAAATAAGGCATCGCACATAGTATCTGACATAAACTCTATCGAAGAGGCTAAATTTTGTCCACTTAATTTCACAAAACATCAAACATTTTGACGAACGTAAACGGCTTAAATATAGGTGGGAAGTCGGAAATTACTATTATGGTGTATTGATGTTATGTATTTGTGGCATTACTACATAGTATCAATTAAGGTTCCTCCTCTACCATCACCAATATATGTATAATACTATGTTCCGACCGACACTTAATCACGATATTTGGGCTGTTTTGTAGATTATCTCCACTGGCCACTGAGGAGATTTGAAGCTAATCTACACGAGATCTCTCTGTGCAACTTTGATTTAGCGCCATCTGTTTGTCATTAGGGAAATTTATCAAATTATCACAGCTGATTTAGACACTACAAATACAAAAAAATTTAAACAAACAAATAAGTTAAAAGAAATGCATCTAAATTCATTCACTTGACAATTGACTTCTCAAATCAAAATATGCGTCCATTATTTCTATTAAATGGAAAATATTTAAAACAATACGACTTTTATAACAAAGTACGATATTCCAATGTTTTCTTTTAAAGAATATTAAGCGATGTGAATTTTTTAATGTCAAAAATAGCTGTTTTATAATTTTCCAACGGCAGTGAGAACAGTCAAGATTAGTGAATAGATAAAATGTAATCTAATCATTTAAAAATTTTGGTCGGAACATGATATAAAGAGTAAAGTCATCAGGATGTTGAAAATCTTGATATTAGTTTTGTGGGGTCTAGGCAGGTTTTCACCCGATTTTATCAATTTTATGCTCAAAAATACATTCTTATTGGAATTACACGGTCTTTCAATTTCACCAAGATAACTCACATATTATCAGCGAACGTAAATGAATAGCGGAGCAAATGTTAAATGAAATCTTTTTGAGTACTAATTTGTATTTCCAGATGAGGGAACATCGAAAAATATAACTTCGAAAGAGAAAAATACACCACACAATGTGCGAAAAGGTATAAATAGACACAACGAATATTCTTAAATGAAAAATCGTTGCGCATACCTATTTAGATTTATGTTTTCAATTGCTATGATATGAAATTGATAATTAGGAAAAGCCTTCTGAATTAAAAATCTGTATTACCGATAAAAACCTCAGAAATCATAATAAAATAAACATTTAATAGGCAAATTTTCCAACTTATGTATGTGCGTTGCGTGAGTAATTGCTTATTGAGCAAAGGATAACAATAAAACGGTGGCTAAGCGGAGCGTTTCCACTTTTGAGGTGGCTGAGGTCGTAAGCGTGAAGGGGTTAAGCACAATCCGAATACGAGCCTATACGTTCGAATCCTAAAACTCATGTAAATTAAATTAAATTTAATTTTTTTATTTTATTAATTGCAATTAATTAGCATATCTAAATTCAGTTACTTAAATGGCATATTTTACTTCCTGATATGATTAAAATATATTAAAAAATATGTTCATATGTTTGGGTTTATTGAATATTCCCTTATTATGCGTATTTACACAAATGTGATAATCACACCAGAGAACTTAAAACAATGAGAAGGTGCAGGTTCGACAGCGAAAAATTTGTAGGGATTTATCAAGGAGTTCACCACAGATGCACGAGAAACAAATAACATTTTTCGCTTTTATAACAGCGGTGAATCTGTACACATACGCTCTCTTAACATAACCAACCGACGAATATTGAAGAGAATATAATATGTGAGCAAAACTGGGCATATTGATATGCCATTTGAAATATATTCCCTTTTATTGAATATTATTTATTATTTTTTAAATTATTTTATGTTAATTCATTTTTACTTTATTATGTTTACTTCCGTTCAGTTTACGTATTGCTTGTGAAGATTATCAAGAAATGATATTTTACTATTTTCATATTTTCTAATTTCAGTTGTTACAAAATTCATAATTTATGTATGTACATATGTACATCAATATGTTATATTATATAATATACGATAATAATATATTTATCAATTATCAATGAAAACGTAAGCGCACTCTCTATATGTAAGTATTATACAAATATGCTACGACCGCAAAAATAAGTAATGCATACACAAATCTACATACATTTAAGCGTACAAATGTATCGTCAGCTAATAGGCAGAATACAAACATTGTTGTACAAAAACTAAAATCTTCTCCAAATAGCATGAGCACCAAAATCAATATGTAGCCAATCCTAAATTTGTAGTAAATCACACCACAATCATTTTCATGTCGCTGGCATGAACGTATAGCTAAGTCGTTTCATTCATAAAGCAAACGCTTATACATCTCCCCGAGCATGCGTTTGCCT